AATCAAATTCAATCAGTCATCATCAAATTCAATTAGTTCTGTTTTTTTTTTGGTTGGTGGGAAGGGGGGGGGGGTATGATTTTGATTGGAAGATCAATAAAGGTTACATATCTTGTGTGAAATGAGAATTGACATTTAATTTCTTGGGATTTTCAAATTCGCCACCATTTGATTGTTCAAAATATATGAATATAATCTGTATGTTAATATAGAATGTACATGCATATATGCACATGTATACAAAACAAAAGCAGATATTATGTGCAATGGAAATTTTTTGGTGAGTGCTCTAACTGATGCGTCCACCCTGGTTTTCAAGGATACTAGGACTTGCAACACATCCAAAATCACAGCAAAGACTTTCTGCCTGTGATCCATGAAATTGGTGCTCCAAAAGTAGTGCAGGTCTGATGATTTTGAATAATTGAAATGAACGGTCCAAGAAATGCATATAAGATGGACGATTTATAAGGCCCTTTTTTTTCTCTCCAGATTCATGATCATGGTTGTCATGATTTATATATCCATGAGGTTCTGGATCTTCAATCCATCTCCAAGATGGACTTTGGAAGGTGGATGAACTAGAATAGGGCCCCTCATTCTTGAGCACCCGCCCAGGCAGTGAGGTGTGTGCCTATGCGGCTGACGTCTTGGCTGCCTAGGCGCTGCCCAGAGCTCTTTTCTATACCTGTTTTGTTTTTTGGAGGGTTGTTTAAGGCAGTCGATAATGCGATCTGCAGTTGGACAGCTTGGAGTCCAAACCATGCCATTGGAGGCAGTGGGTTGGTTGGAGAATAGTTTTTCAAAGGAGGTGTGGATATGGGTCCTTGGTTTGCAGGTGATGATAGATCAAGTGTTGGAGGTGGTAAGGGAGGATTCACTGTTCATCTTTGAGGAGTTTCATTTTAGGGAAAGATTGTTAGGGTATGAATGTGAAATTTGGGTATCTTGAAGAGAGGGAAGCATAGGATATTTGTGATATTATACGTATTAGCTTTATTTAGGTGCTTTTTAAGATATTTGTCAAGGCTTTGTCTTTAGGGTTGGAGGAGATTATGGGTTCCGACACACTCGATAGGGTGCCTCTTGTTAAGTTTGGGCATATTTTAATTGTGGCCTTGCCTCATGAGTCCTTAGGCTCAAGGTATATGATGGGGAGACTAGGAAATTGTATGTTTGATGGATATGGAGAAGCCACATGAACTGGGATTCTCTGTTTTTTATGAGGGTGTTGAGTTTTGGGTTCTTAGCTGTTAAAGACAAAGTTCTCATAGCGACCATTATCGCAGCAGGGTCCTCCTGTTTCTGGTCTATTGTATGATGTGCATGGGGATGGAAGAGATGATCTTACCCTTTGGGAGTTTGCCTAAAGGAGTTCTGAATGCTTCCCCGTTCTATTTGCAACAATTGGGCCTTTTTGACACTCTTTCATAAACTTGTTGATTGTTTTGACTGTTTTATGGAGTGTTTGCATGATTTAAAGCTTTTGTGCGTTGGTGATCTTTTTGGGTTCATGGCTACAGAGGTGTAATAAAATTGCAGTTTGGAAGGTGTACTGGAAGGTATACTGGAGTTGGTGGTGGTTGGTAACATTTAGACAAGCTTATTCTCGTGGGTATTAGTGGGAGAGGAATTTAGGGGTTTTAGGAGAACTATATATATATGAGAGAGAGAGAGAGAGAGAGAGAGAGAGAGAGAGAGAGAGAGAGAGAGAG